CAGGAGCAGGCAGATGGCATCTTGTAGATATCGATGAACAGGCCCTTGTAGGGGTCACATGGATCGTAGGAGAGGAGTCGGTGGTACACTGACTTCTGGGTGCAGTGGCTCTGGTAGCAAGGAGCAAGGGCACGGCAAGCAGCCTCTGGGAACAGACAAGTCTCCAAGCGGGCAGTCTGGCTGTAATAGTGAACGTCGTTCACAATGACGCGCCACTTGCCTTCCACATTCTGGGCACGTTTGGGCATGGCATATACCACTTCGGAGGGACAGATGTAACCCTCAGGACCAGCCCAGTGTGTGGCATCGTAGGGAGAGTCCCCAGTGGAGGCTCCAGTGTAGTAAGAGTAGTCGAAGGCCTCCTCCTGGTCCTTGGTAATCATGTCTACCAGGTCATCAGCAGACTGGTCGGCGACATCAGCGTACTTCTTGGCGAACAGGTGATCGGCAGTGATGGCAGACTTGATCTCATACTCGGGATACTCAGCGTCTTCCAAGCAGTAGGAGAGAGTGGAGTTGTCAGCGCATGCGGGGGCAACAGTTGGGTCGCAGTAACCGTGCTTATAGGCATGCTGGTGACCATAAGCAGGCGCATGATGACCGTAAGCTGACGCGTGATGACCGTAAGCGGGCTGGCGGTGATGGCCGTATGCTGGAGGATGAACGGAGCCCAGAACGACTCCGGCGCATGCCAGAACGACTGACTGAAAAACAGATTAACATTAAAACAAAAATTAACATTAAAGTAAAAAAAAAAAAAAAGCTTTTCGCAAAGTCCAATTTCTTCAATGAAAACAGTGCAGCCAGATTAAACTGGCAGCCCTTTCAAGTTACCAATGTAAGAGCCATGGTGAAATGAAGAGATAGACACGGGAATCGTTTCTACTGTTGTCCATTCGTTATTATCGAGCTTATATACTCCAACTATGCTTTGGCCACACCCACGCAGGACGAACATGCGTGACTCCCAAGGTTAGAAAAACGTGAAAGTTTTTCGTCTCCTGACTCTGTTGCCATTACTTCCACATTAGCACAGATACGCGAACTAATTTCTGCCTTTCTTACCCTCCTCTGTCCTGGGAGAGAAGTAGCTAAGTTATACACACAATCACATTCGCAAAGGCACAGAAACATATTTACATATGTACATATATATACATATGTATGTGGATGTTTGTATGGATACATATATGTATATTTACACACTACATATACATATATATGTATAAAAAGCATGATATATATACAGGGAGGGGCAAGAGTGCGTAGACAAACTAAGTGAATAAAAGATTTCATGTATTTATTCTAGTGGCAGTTAGTCTTATGTCAATACATTTCATTTAAAATTGTAGTCTCTGGGGGTGGGGGTGCAAGTTAGACCTCCAGTCACCCCCTAATTGAAGTCTCTCTCTATATATATACATATATTTATATAGGAATATATCACCATGTATTTATATATACCTGAATATATGTTTCTATATGTATCTATACATACATATATATAAATAAATGTATACACAATAATACACACAAAAACATGTATATATACATATGTTGCAATTATATCTATATGCTATATATATTTATATATGCATATATGTATATATCTGTGTGTGTGAACACATGTAAACAGTATATATAGATATATACACCCCATTTGTATACTATTTGTTTAGCTACCTATCGATAGTATATCTATATTCACACAATGATATGGATATTCATTGATGCATACTGTCTATCATCTTATGGATATATGAAAGTATGTAAATAAGTAACTATATATCTATATGTCTATATATTTACAATATATATATATATATTTACTCATAAATATATGCTATTATATATCTATTTATACATCAAACCCACACATACATACAGTATATGTGAGACAAAGACCGACACACATATATATACACAGGACACATGCACATACATATATATGCATAAAGACACGCGCACAAACACACATGCATATGTGTTATGAGGAGACGTATGCGAGTCTCGCTCGCAAAGCAGGCTCAACGAAAACTTCAGTGGAAAGATATATCTTAATAGTCATGATAAACTTTTTTTTCGCAAAATAAACAAAGTTCGTGTGTGGGCAACGCATCGTACGTTTCTTATTACCTTTATACACGTTTGTAAGCAATATTATCATTGGTGATTGAAACAAAACCAGTATCTCATAACACAATTGTACTTTTATTGACGTAAAAACGCTTGAAATAAAAGAAACAGAATGAACTGACTTTCTGGGGATCATAAAATACATACACATAAAAAGATAACTAAATGAGAAAATCGCAATTAAAAATCACGTATTACATGATGAAAATAGGAGGCTCCACTTAAAAAAATGACGCACTCGGGACACAGTTTACTGATAGCCAATTCCCCTTGACCGCAGACACAACGCTGCCACGACCCCACAATAAATGTAACTTAATTTCTAAGGGCTGAAGTCAGAGTGATAGAGTCGACGAACATTTAGCGTTAATTCAATGACCTTCATCGTCTCTCTCTCTCTGACCCGTATAAACATACAAAAATATAGAGGTAATACAATTTCAGGTTATCAAAAGGAAAATATGTAAAAATCTAAATTGTAGAATATTTAGTTTCATGCTTCACAAAAGGGAGGGATTCAGATGCAATTTCCAATCACTTATTTTTGTAGATATCTGAAAAATGAGGGTTAGAAAATAGTTTTCTTAACGAACATGATGGCTTTCCATGAACAGCATGCTTTGCTCATATGAGCCAAGAATGTTAAACAATGAATTCAAGTACATTTTCCCCACTAATGTGACTTGAGAGAAGGTATTTGGTGATTAATGATCGATGGTGCAGACAGCCAAAAGACAAGCACAGCTGTCGGGAAGTTTGAATGTCTCGATGGCGAAGGAGACGTACTGATCATAGGGATCGTAAACAAGGAAGCGGTGGCAGATGGATTTCTGCAGACATTTGGACTCGTAGCAATCAGGCACCAGAGAACATGCATCGGCGGAAGTAAAACACTCTTCGATGCGTGTTGTCTGAGTGAAAGTCTGATAATGGGCATCAATATTGTTTAAAACGACACGCCATTTTTCCCTTCTATTTATAGAAGTATACTATCTATCAGTCTACAGATCGATAAATGTATGTATGTATTTACATATGTACAAATTATATATGTATATATATGTATATATTCATATGCACATATATACAAATTATTTAAAATCGATAAATGTATGTATGTAAATATCAATGTATTTACATATGTACAAATTATATATGTATATATATATATTTATATGCACATATACTACTATATATATACATCCACACACATATACATGATATGAAGATACCGACGCACACATATAAACACAACACATACACAGACATACAGACACATGCATAAAAACACACATATATATATATAGTTTGATCAAGTACGTATGGGGAGGTCTCATTTTAAGCGTGGAAGGTATATATACTCTGAAATCCGATAATTTACCTGAGAGAAATGACCTGGAAACCTTGGCAGACTACGAGCGTGAATGACAAAGTTTTGGGTCTGGTTGCCTGGGAAGCTCATGGTCGCTTGTGCTTACCCCATGCACTCAATCCCTTCCATCAGTACCATTCTGCAATTCGTCCCTTTAGTGACCGAGAACTTACGGATAAACACAGATCGCGATAATTTGTAGGAGCTACTAAGTGCCATAAAGTGGGTCAGCATATTAGAGAAATGAGTAAACGGACCAGAGAGCGTGAGGAAAACGTCAGCCGCCTCATCAGTTCAAGGCCAAGTTCAAGGGGAAGGTAACCGCCATAGGGCAAGCGGCGGGAAAATTAGGATAATTATAATGTTCTGCAGATGGCAGTTGTAGTGTTAACTAACCCTGGTAGCCAGATAATGTAAATAACGAAGCCCCAAACCCTTTTAATCAGCGAGTGTTCACATTATTCTGCAAGAGCTAAGGGCGTGACCCAAAGCACAGGCGAACAAGAAGCTGAGTGATAGAACTGCAATTGTTAAAAGGCAAAGTGTCAGGTATAGATATGTGCATGCACATGTGTATATATATATGCAAATATACACACACACGCGAATACATACATATATACATATATATATACATATACGTACATGTGTGTGTGTATACATATATGATATATATATATACAAATATTCACATATATGCATATCTATATATACAAATATTTACATATATGCATATCTATATATACAAATATTTACATATACGCATATCTATATAGACAATATATATATATATGAGAATGTCTTCCATAGCGATATGACAGAATGAAGGTCGATTTTTTATTATTTCTCCTCATATGCATAATTTACCTGTTGTTTGTAGATCGCCAAATTAAAAAGATTTGTAAACAAATATAATAAAATTTTTAATGAATCTTAAATAAACTGTTACAAAATCCTTAGAAATTAAAACCATGCCAAACTAAGCATATTAAGTGTTACGTATCTCATGAATTCAAAGATAAAAAGCTAAAGTGTGAAAAAGATGACTAGAGAACTACTTTCTTCACGTATTCGACGACTTTCCATGGACGTTAAATTATTGTTGAATTTGTATGTGTGTGTGTGTTTGTGAGTACATGTATATATACATATATTTTTGTATATAAGTACGTGTGTCTATGCTTATGTTATATTCATACATGTAGATAAATAAACATATACATATGTATACATAGATCATGCAAAAAATATAACGAAATTATTCAAGTAATCAAAAGGAAAATATGTAAATATCTAATATGTAAAATAGTATTTATTTTCATGTTTCACAAATGATCTTTGAAATCAGTTCTCATTTCTGTAAATATCACATATAGATGTCTAGAAAACTTCACGACTTTCCATGAGCAGTATGCCTTGTTCCCAAGGCGATAAGATTAAAATATGTTGAATTCATGTTAACTTGTGTGGCTTGGCCTCAAGAGTTTGGTGACTAATGATCGATGGTGTAGGCACCCAACAGACAAGCACAGCTGGCGGGAAGCTTGAATGTCTCGATGGCGAAGGGGAAGTACTGATCATAGGAGTTGTACACAAGGAAGCGGTGATAGATTGACTTCTGTAGACACTTGGACTCGTAGCACTCAGGCACCAGAGGACATGCATCGCTGGAAGTGAGACACTCTTCAATGCGTGTTGTCTGAGTGAAAGTTTGATAGTGGGCATCGATATTGTTTACAACGACACGCCATTTTCCCTCGGTGTTCTGGGCACGAAGGGGCCTGATGTAAGCGGTCTCAGATGGGCACAAGTAAGTTTCCTCTTCCAGGGTGTTTGGTCGGTCCACAGACAGCTCGGTGTTGAGGTCGGCTACGTCAGCGTAGAGGGAGAGGAGCTTCTCGTAGTGATACTCAGCTGCGTGTTTGATCTCGTGGATAGGATACTGATCGTCGTCGAGACACCACGATTTGGTTGTGTTGGCAGCACATTCTGGCACAGCAGGCTCATATTCATGCTCATAGGAAGGTTGTGGGTGATAAGCGGGAGCAGGATGGTAGGAAGGTTGTGGATGGTATGAGGACCGTGTGTGGTAGGTTGGTTGATGGTGGTATGAAGTGCGTCCGTGGTGAGAGGAGCTGTGATGGCTGACAGCAGGAGCACCGCCGAGACTGATGCTCACGTGTGAGGTCTGGTCGGCCACAACTGCGACCGCCAAAGATAGCGAAACCTGCAACAGAATATGGTAAGAATAGTGATGAAGCGTGTATGTATTTTATACATGCTATTTCGTGTACGCACGTATCAACACAAATACACCTACATTCACATGTGCCCACATATATATATATATATATATATATATATATATATATGCATGTATAAGTAAATGTATCTCAGAACTCTATGTGAACTCACCAAGTATCGTAAAGCCATGCTTGCACTCTCAGTTTTTGGTGCCTTCGAACTGTAGCGACCGTGATAGTGGGCGTCCTTTATATAGGTACAGTAACCCTCCTCCCCGCCCCCGACACCCCCAACTCCCCCAACTGCATCATCGAACCATGAAAGTAATTTCATTTTGATACATTTATAATTTAAACGTTCCCTTGTATCCGTGCTTTATTTTAAACTACGTGTATTATCTATCGTAACAAAGCACATAGGGAAAATGAATGTTTAAGCTGAACAAATAGAAAAGATAGCGTTTCAGGAAGCCAATAATTACAGTGAAAGGTATCCTTGGGTCAGCTAAGACGTGTTTCCTTTCTCTGTCTTGTGTGTTTGATTACCAACTTCGTTATTGCAGGACATAATTTTCAACACACATACATGCTTACATATACGTTTGTGTGTATATATGTGTCTAGAAATAACTACGCTGGTAAATACATGGGACAGAAAAAGGAAACACGTTTGCATATATATTTAAATATATATGTATATATATACAGATGTGTATATATTCATTACAAACACATGTATACTTACATATATATGTGTGTGTGTATGTGCGTGTGTGTATAAGGATATATATAGTACAATAATATATGTAATACATTATGCACATGTATATTTATGGACTTCTAGTACATTGATATGTGTGATTGCGGATATATATACATAGGAATATACGTACCTATGTATACGTGATCACACACATATAAGCATATATACATGCACATACACACACACACATATATATGTAAATATACTGTATATATAAATATATATATTTATATTTGTATATGAATACAAATATATATATATATATATATTTGTATATACATACTGTATATACAAATATATATTTTCACATATAGATAGATATGTATATATGTATAAATATAAACAAATAGATATACATATGCACATTATATATATATATGTGTGTGTGTGTGTGTGTGTGTGTGTATTAGGGTGGATGTGCATGTTTAAATAATTATATTAATGAATAAACTATAAAAAAGAGAATATATATAATATATATATTCATTGTTTTGTATCCCAGTGACTCTGTTGTCTTTAATAGTCATATTCACCTCCGGAATGTGAAAATTGACTGCTTGGGAAATATGAATCTCTTTTGTTATTCTATCGCTTTGTGTGAACTATTGGTGTACTTGATCTAAATTGGTTGTGGGCCTTATTTCGACGACTTTATTTTTGTTTAGTTTTTTGTTATTTCCTTATCTAATATCAAATTCACAATTCATTGTTACTATTATGTTCCTTATAACGAGAATAAGCATTAATGTATTCACTGACA